GTTCATTGCGTCAATACAATGAAAAGTTACCAAAGATAATAGAAGAGGTAATATGAGTTTTGTTTTTTAAGTTTTAATTTAAGTTTTTAAAAACACTTTTATGAAATAAAAGTTATTATTAAAAGTAACAGATTAAATTAGTAAACACAAAAATACTTATTTTTTAATAATAATTTTTAAATTTTCTAGAATTTAAAGAATGTATATATGGGAAAAAGTCTTTTTTGTGATGGAATCTGTTCAAGTTATAAGAACTGATTATATATTTTTAATTTCAAAACTATTTTTTTTTAAGAGTTTCTTCTAGTTTTTTTTGACATATGTTCTAAATGTGTCTTAAAATCTTTGAAAACGTGGAAATCTTAGAATAGTTCATATATGCAAATCTTAGGAAAGTCCATAGATACAAATCTCAGAAAAATATTTAGGTGCAAAAATGTTGGTCTTGCAAACATTTGCAAAACATTTAAGCAATTTATAAAAATAAAAATTTTCAATGAAAACATTTTTATTGGTACTTGACTAAATTGCTTTTATTTGTATAAATATACCTATATTTTGCAAGCATTTTATAAACATACCTATATTTTTCTAATTGTATTCATAAAAATATGTTTGTTATAAAAAAATAACTTATTGTAAAAAATAAGATAAACAATGCTGACAATGTTGAATAAAATTAGTTTAGTATTGTTGCATGATTAAAGCAATAAAAAAAGAGTCATTTTTGAATTATCAAGGCAAGAGACATTCTTGTATGATCAAGGCTGCAAAGTTTCAAGAATGTTTATAGATCAGAAGATCTTTTTTTTTTTTTTTTTTAATATCTTGCAGAAAACCTTTTTTTTTTTCATAACTCTTAAATTATAAATCTTGACAAAGAAACCTTAGTAGTTTCAAAAAGATTTGTAGTTTCAAAAAGATTTGTAGTTTTAAAAAGATTTTAAGAGCAATACTACCTGTGATGTACAAAAGGGACACCAGCACATTTTTTTTATCATTCTGTATGCTTAGTTCTATTTTAATACATTTCTAATTGTAATGAGAAAAAAATAAATTCATATGTTTTTATTTTTACAATTGCTTTTCTTTCTTCTTAACCACAATAATTTCCCCTACCCATAATTTCTTTTTAAATCAAATCAAAATTCTCAACTACAAAGGGTATATCATTGAACGACAACTAATAGTAATACAATCAATATCAATCAAGTCCAATAAGCAAAATGCTAATACAAATAAAACAACAGCATTAAGTTTTAAGATTTAAGATTTTTAGTATGATTATTTTGCTAAAGATTTCTATTACTTTGTCCTTTTATATAACTTTGTACATATATATAACTGTATGCCACCGCAGATCCAGATTTTGCAGGATCCCTCAAGTTCATGGTATTAATTTTTTTTTTTTAATTATCTTCGCTTCCAACAAGGTTGCAAGCAACCACTAATTAGTGTTGGAAGTTACTGGAAGAGAAAAGATGAAGATTGTAGAGCAAGATAACGATTGACAGACGACTTAAAAGATTGCAAATTATATGAATCAGGAAAGCAAGATGAAGGAAGCGAATTCCAAAGAACTGATGTTCGAGGAAAAAAACTAGACGAATAAGAGTTTTTGGAGCACTTAGGAACAGTAACAGAAAATAGATGAGACTTAATTGAATGACGAGTAACACGAGAATGAATTTTAGTAGATGGCACAAGAGACGCTAGCTCTTTAGAGCAGTGCCCATTATAGTATTTGTAGAAAAGAGAAAGAGAAGCAACATTACGACGATGTGACAGAGGTTGAAGGTTGGCTGCAAGAGCAGGTCCAACTATGTTTACAATGCGTTTTTGCACCTTGTCTAAAAGAAAAAGGGCATCATTAGAAGATCCGCCTAAGATATGGCAACAGTATTCCATACAAGGCCGGATTTTAGATTTATAGAGATAGAGAATAGAATCCAGAGTAAGAAAGTGACGAGCTCCATAAAGAGAAGCAACTTTAGCAGATGCTAATTTTGCAACGGATTTGATATAAGGTTTCCAAGAAAGATCAGAAGTAAGAGTTAATCCTAGAAGATGAAGGGTAGGAGACTCATCGAGTACATTACCGTTCAAAAATATAGGAAGGTTTAAATTATTGTGATAACGATTGGCCGAAAAAAATTGAGTTTTATCTGAATTAAAGTTCACCAGCCACTGCGAGCCCCATGCTGTAGCAGAAGTGAGATCCTTTTCGAGCTCAGATGCCCCCTGCAAGCAATCAGAGGGAGTTGGCTTCTTAATGTGACAAGAATAAATGATAGTATCATCAGCAAACAATGCCACCTTAGATGTGAGAATATCTGGAAGATTGTTAATGTAAATTAAAAAGAGTATAGGGCCAAGGATTGAACCTTGGAGAACCCCTGAGGTTACAGAATAAGAAGAAGAGTGCTGTCCATCAAGGACAACTTTTATACTACGATTGGAATGGAAGGATTCAATAATCTTAAAGATGTTTCCAGATACACCATAAGAAGAAAGCTTATGGAGGAGACCAGCATGCCAAACTTTATCAAACGCTTTAGAAATGTCAAGAGCAATGGCCTTAACCTCTCCACCTTTATCTAATGCGCGATAAAACATCGGTTATTACTGATAGCAAATTAGCCGTAGAACGAGAAGGTCGAAATCCATACTGATGATCAGAAAGTAGGTTATGAGATTCGAGATGAGAGATTAAGTGTTTGTTAATTAAAGACTCAAAAGCCTTGCTTATGATAGGAAGAAGACTAATGGGACGGTAGTTAGATGAGTCAGATCGCTCTCCAGAATTTTTAAAAATAGGGATAACAGATGCTGCTTTCCAGCAGGCTGGAAAACAAGACTCTGATAAGCACTTGTTGAATAGTTTTGAAAAGATAGACGACAGCTCAGGAGAACACTTCTGCAAGGCTATAACAGGTATGTTGTCCGGGCCGCAAGCTGTAGAAGAGTCTAAGCGGGAAATCACTTTAGATACAGAAGCTGGAGTGATACGAATGTTGAGCAATGGATCAACCTGTTTGACAGGTATATCAGGTAAAACGCAACTAGTGGAATCAAGAGATGATATTGATGAAAAGTTCTTGGCAAACAATTCAGCTTTGTCTTTAGGTGAGGTGACAAAGTCTGAACCGTACAAAAGAGGTGGAAAAACAGACTTGCTCTTATTATTGATACTATTAAAGATTCTCCAGAAGTCACGAGAGCCTAATTTTTGTGATGAAATACGAGATTTCATGATCTGAGAATAGCTGGTTTTGGCGTTAGACAAAACCTTTTTACAATGGTTCCTAGCAGTAATAAAGAGACGTCTGTTTTCTGGAGAATTGTTTTGCTGATAGATATGGAAGTAATGGTTTCGATTGGCAATTGCAGCAGCACAATGTGAGGAAAACCATGGAGAAGAGTGAGGCTTGACCTGGAATCGTCGAGAGGGAATAAAGGATTCCATGCCAGCCTGAATCCACGAAGTTATGTGAGAAGCACATTTGTCAACAGGGAGACGAAAGATTTCTACCCAGGGGCCATCACAAAGAAAGTCACGAAAAGGGTCCCAGTCAGCTTTAAGGTAGTTGTAAGATGTACGATGATAGGGGGATTCTAATGGTAAAGAAGAATGAGATAATAGTTTTAGAGAGATCAAACCATGATCAGACGCACCTAAGGGTGAGTGTGAAGAAACTGAACACTGACTAGGATCAGAAACAAGACATAAGTCGAGTAGAGAAGGTAAATGATTTGGGTTGTCTGGAAAGCAAGTTGGAAAGTTGACTATTTGAGTTAGGGATTGAGAAAGACAAAAGTTGTGGGCCTTAATGTCTGCAGAGTCACTGACACTAGAGCCAAGCCATTCAGTGTGATGAACATTAAAGTCACCAACAACAACATTATTGGCTGATAGGTAAAGAATGAGGGCTTGGTCAATATAATCAGAAATAACATCAAGAAGAATGCAGTCTTGGGATGAGGGAGAGTGATATAGAACAAAGAGAAAGGTGATTGAGTGAAGTGGTGCTAAACGAAAGCACATAAAAGAGTAGTCTGTGGATTCAAACCTAGTTTCCCGAAAAATGGGTGAATTCTTACGAATGTAAATGCCCAGGCGAAGCATGTGACTATTGGAGTCTTTACGAATTAAAGGAAAATACCATCAACACTAAGATCACAAGATGAGACAGCTGAACTCAAATTAGTCTCACAAAGAGCAAGCAGGTCTGGTGATTTTTGCAAGAGATAAGACTCAACAGAAGAAAAGTTACTTCGAAGACAACAAATATTGGTGAATGATAGGTTTAGCGAACTTGGTGATGACTGTGGTTTATTGTGTTTTATAGTTTTTGTTACTTTATTCATTTTTAAATTTGTTAAAGAACTTGACTCGAAACATTGATAGTACTCAGTACACTGTTCTATAGCTCAAGCGATTGCCTCATTTCCACTAATAAACCCTAAGCCGTAACAAAGGGCTCCAATGTGGCCTTGGCAATGCACACCAAAAGTACAAACAGGGACACCATCCATGCGCAACATGGCACTGTTAGCACTCTGATATTTTTCAGCTGTTGATGGAATCAGCCTCTCTGAGAGCTACCACAGAGTTCGGGAAACCTGACTACCAGCCGGCCTCAGAACCATAAAACTGAGTTTTAGAGCTGTACCCTCATTTGGAGATAATAGAATGAGTTGGCTAGTCTTAAAAACAGAGACACAAGCAAAACCCATGAATCGAGTCAAGAAGATCCAGCGTTCTACATCCTAAACTGGAAACAATGTGTTAAAAATACATCTGCGCCATTGAGTTCTACGTTTTGATATAAATAATGCTTTTAAAAATTTGGTTTATATTCTTGTTATCACTGTTATTATGTAAAATGTGTTATTGCATAAGTATTTTATATAAATGATATAGTTTATTAAATAAATATTTTAATTGTTTCAAATAATCAACTTGTTATAAAGATTGTTTTAATTTAAAATAAAACAAGTGAAATATTTAAAATATATATTTTCGTTACAATTACTTCAAAAAACTATTTAATGATTGTCCATAAATTATGCAACGCAAAATTTATTTAAAAAACGTATGTAGGAACTCTTTGGCTCTTTTACGCAGTGATTTTCATTAAACCTTTTTGAATTTTTATTTAACTTAAGGCTCTGCGAGGAAGAACCTTTGTTATTTTTTTGTTTTGTTTATTAGTGATATTTAGTGTTGCATAATTTATGCAAAATTATTAAAATTTATTAAAATTTATTAAAATTTTTAAAATTTATTAAAATTATAAAAATTTACTAAAATTATTAAAATTTTGTTTTTGTTTATTTTTGTATTTTAAATTTTGTAAAATAAAGTCAAAAAAATTAAAATGATATTTTTATGTCAGTAATTATTAAATTTTTTTTGTAAAAAAATGTTCCACAGCTGATAAAACTGATTTTTAGAGCTTTACTTTTTTTAGAAGATAACAGAAAGAGTTGCATAGCAACAAAGAAAAGATGCTTTTGTTCCTTAACATGAAAAGGCTTTAACAGTCTAAGAAGCAAATAAAATAAAGTTTATTGTTTACTAACATTGTTAGATTTTTATTTAAGTCTCTTTTTGGGCAGACTGAGGAAATAATAAATTTATGTATTGGTGACTCATCCAGTAAAATTCCTCTTAAGTATGATAAAGCTTATGGCTTTTGTCCATACACTTATAAATAAATATTTTACCATAAATATAAAATTTTTTAATTTTATTTTAGGAACAAAAACGTAAGTTGCATCTCACTGCTGAACAAAAGAGAAGAAGCATTATAAAAGTAATTTTATATTTCAAGTAAATCTATAAAAAATATATTCAGTAAATTTGTTGGTAAAAGGTGTTTGTTAGTGAAGGGTGTTTGTTAGCAAAGGGCATTTGTTAGTAAATCTATTTAAACCTAAAACTGAAATTTTGTTTTAAAATGAAAATTCTTTTTACTGAACAAGTAGAAGAATGCAGCTTCTACTTGTTCAGTTTTAGCAGAAATTTAAACTGTAATAAACTAAAACTTTTTTTATTATCAGCTTTTAGAAATTTCTAAATTTTAATAAAATTATTCTATAAAAACTATAATTACTATAAAAACATTACGCCATTTTTTAAGGTTTTTTTCCCATTTCAAATATTTTGTTCAAAGATCAAATAACTTAACAGCACCATTGTGATATCCCACTACCATCATCCTTTTAATTTGTTGATTTTTTTTAAAGTTTAGATTTTCCAATCTTGGACAATTTCTAGACTTCAGTCTATTAGCTGATTTTTATCTCAATTAAGAACATGATTTACTGGAATATTTAGTCTAATACTAATTGCTTGTTTTTTTATGTAGAAAATATCTCTATTATACTTAGATTATATTGCCCAACCTTAATCTGCAATTGGTCTCTGTTATCAATAAACTTCTTTATAAAACTGAGATAAGTGCGTTAAATGTAACATTCGATTTTTGTTAATAAAAATAGTTTGTTATAGAATGCTTTTGAAGATTTGGCTGCCTTGTTACCAACTTCTAAAGATACCAATCAAGCTAATAAACTTACAAATGCATCTATTCTGCAAAAAAGTAAATCCCTTTTTATGATTGTTCTTTGTTATAGATCATTTATAGATGAAATTTATTTTGAATTATTTTGTAATTACATAAAGCATTAAATTTACAAAATTGTACTATATTATTATTTATACTATATTACTATGCTGTTTTCTTTTTTATATTATTCTGTGATTTATTTATGCAGGAAATAGTAAGTTTAAAAGAGAACTTTCATAGATTATAAAAGATTATCAAAATCAAACTATAAAAAAAAAATCACTAAAAAGAGTTCCTGAAATGACATTAATTATAATTTATGTTTTTAAGCGTGTGACTATGTTAATGAATTGCAACGAAAAAAAAAAGCACAGGAGTTTCGAATTAACCAATTGAAGCAAGAGATAGAACAATATAAGATATCAATTGGGTAAGTAACTAATTTTTATCCAAAAAAGAAAAAAAAGACAATGTCTGAAGCTTTTTTTAACTAGATCATAAAAAAAAACTATTTACATACAGACAAGATAATGTTCAATTTTGATACTATACAAAAAATATTTGTATTTAAAATAACATAAATTATTATATAATATTTCCATCAACTTTTTAAAATAGTTTTTAGATTAGACATTTATTATTAGAAAATTAAGTGGAAAAAATTTTCAGTTACCAACATTAAAAAAATTATCATCAGTTGAATTAATTTCAATTTTGTTATAGTGAATGTCAGAACAAAATACCAGAACTAAGCTCTTCAGAACTACTCCCTCAGGTTTGTTTTTGAACAAATATTATTTGTAATGCAAAAGTTACACAAATATTTTGGTGTGTTATAACACATTGATTTGATTTATAAAATTTATAACGTATTTAAAACTTATTTATAACTTATTTATAACATATTAATATTTAAAGTTGTAAACGTTATAGTAGTAAATTGAGACAAGTTATTTCATAAAAGAAATTTTTGATTTTGTAAGTTTTTAAAACTTTTTTGTTTTGTAAAGTCTAACTTTTCAAGATCCTTCATGAACCCTAACCACTCATGAACCCTAACCACTCATGAACCCTAACCACTCATGAACCCTAATTAATATATTTTTTTAACAAAAAATTCTTCTCTTTAATCATTATCTACAGGAATTTTTTTTTTTTTGTGTTTGTGAAGTTTAACGTCCATTGTTCCACACTTGTCTATTTTGGATGGTATCCATAATGCATTTTTTTATTTTATTTAAGTATCACATGACTAAGCAATTGAATAAAGCTTGATCTTTAAAGGCATTAACCTAAAAAAACCTGTTTAAACCTGTTTTATTTAATAACCTGTTTTAGAGATCTTTTTTATTAAAATACTATTTTTAGATAGATTACTATCCTAGGTTTACAATAAGATAGCAATCACGTAAATAAGTTTTACTTATTCTATTTTACAAATATTATAACTTAGTAAAATAGTGTAAAATATAATAATATTATTTTTAATATACTATAAAATATCTTGGGTGCTAAAGCAGGTTTGTCTCAGTTTAGAATGTGTTTTTGTACCCTGTTCAAAAATAGATATTGTTAGAAGTCTTGAATATAATACAATAGTATTATGTACAAGTGCAGTTGAGAGATTTTTTTGATGATAAACGGTAATCAGAAAAGATAATGTGAGCATAATAAAAAATGCAACCTTAGCAGATGCTAATTTATTAATCGATCATGTATATGGTTTATTAAAAAATTAGAAAACTCATTAAGAGTTTTACCATCAATTTGTTTATTTATATTTTTATTTTTTTAACATAAAATCAAGAATCAGTAATATTGAATTTATTCTTTGATTGTATTTAAACAAGAGTTTAAATAAGATTCTAAGTTTCAAGCAGGTTGATTAAGCTTATATTGATTAAGATTATACCCATGATATTTGACTATCAGTTCTGGATCTATGTAAATTCACAACTTCGACATGTCTCTGAACTCTTAATGCACATTATAAATTTTAAGAATTTAATTAGCAAGCCTCAACTTGACACAGCAAGCCTCAACTTGAAACAGCAAGCCTCAACTTGAAACAGCAAGCCTAACTTCCCATATGCAAATTGCTGTTATTGCTGAAAGTCACTGCTTCACTGACTCAGCTTCTAAAATATTCTTTTTTAAAGTCATATAACATTTTATTAGGCCTTTTTTAATATATTTTTTCTGATCATAGGCAACTCTTATTCTGTTTATATTGCTTTATACTGCTACTTCATTAGTTTTCATAGTAAGTTTATTAGCTCGTGGTTCAACCATATATCAGATAGTTTTAAAATAGGCTATATTTTCTGGAGCTAACGATATGCTTTCAATAATTTCATTATGTCGATATAGTTAATCTTAAGATTAATATGCATTCTCATCTCATTTTAGCTGTTGTTGTCAAGTTTGGGATCGAATTGGAAACTATCACTTTAACAAGTTTCTATCTTCTCAACGTGAATCCATTAGGTTAATAAACTTTAAACATTTCCAGCGCTAGTAAAGTATCTTTTTGTTTTTGACTTCTTCAATAAAAATTTCCTTCATTATAAACTTGTTCACAGAAAGTAGACTAGTGCATTCCTACTCTAGTAGAAATATATACAATTGAGAACTAAATATACCACCTTTTTAAACCTAGAAGTATGGTAAATATTCTATTGTTTATCAGTGCGTATGTGAATGGAACAGTAGCCTTATGTATTTTGAATGAGCCTTAAAAACTACATCCTAAAATACCTTTTTTTCACCTTAAACAAAATCAATTTAAAAAAATTCTGAAAAACATTTTATTCTAACTTTTATAAATGCTTACTATTAAAATATTCTTTTAATTTTCTTTTCGTTATTACTGCAATTATCATTAGTACTTTTTGTTTGTTTATTTTTTTTATTATTTTATCATTATAACCTGCAAATTATGATTTCTGCATGTTTATTTTTAATGTATGTTCTATGTGCTTTAATCTATGTGTTTACGACCCATGTGTTTTAATGTGTATGTTTTTGCTTATTATTACTTATATTTAAAAGTTGGTGTCACTCCTTTGATCAGATTTCTGTATGAGTGACACCATCCTAATAAATCATTAAATTATTAATATAAATAATTTTATGCTTATAACTAACATAATAGTAATAATAAGTATTTTTTTCAATTTAATTATTGAAAACATACTTATTATTACTATTATTATAATTTTTATTAATTTTGTTATCTTATATTATATATTATCGTTGTTATTGTTATTATTTTCATTTATACTATTGTAAAAATGATTTACAAAAAATATATAGCTTGTTGTTGTTGTTATTGTTGTTGTTGTTGTTGTTGTTGTTGTTGTTGTTGTTGTTGTTGTTGTTGTTGTTGTTGTTGTTGCTGTTTTTGTATTGTAATTGGATTTGTTTTTATTTATATTATGCTCATTACCTTAAATGAGCATGTTTTTTTTTCTTATTATAGAAAGCTTCAGACAGTGTAGAAAAAGATTTCGTTGCTTTCTGCAAGGAGCTTATCTATGCAAATCCAAAATCCTGGATTGTATCTTTAATTACTATTAAAAATCATTTAAAATATTTTGTGTGGGTGTTATGCATAAAACATAGTATTTTATGTAGATGTTATGCATATAGCATAGTATTTTGTGTGGGTTTTTTGTATATAACAAATGTATATTTTGTGTTGGTGTTAGGTATATAGCATTAATGATTAAATAAAGTATACTTTATATATTGAAAGGTTCCCACATAAAAATGTTAATTATAATTAAATTCAATCTTATTTATTTACAACTTATTGCAATTATACAATTATTACAATTTATTTATTCATTATCTTTAACAATATTTATAAAAAAAGTTTTGTCAAATAATGCGCCCATTGTTTAATTCTTATAACAGCACCGTCGCAACAAAAACTGTAGATCAATTTGTATCCTCAGTTATGACGTGGTTCGAGAAATATTTTATGCTTTCAGCTATTCGTACAAGTTAGTTTTTAACTTTTTAAAAATGTTATTACTTAATTTGATTTACATTGATATAAAATGTTTGGTTTACAGTTGTGTTGAATACGTTGACAAAACTCAGTACAAGCACCTCATTACTAGATGATCCGAGCTGCTTAATCGAACTGGTAAACGTTGCTGTCAGAGAAAATGATCCGACTTTAATTCCTTCTATTTCTACGAAACGATAATTTCAGCTTGCACTAATTCTTTTTTTTTAACCGTTTTTGTTGAAGGTTTTTTTTCTAAGTTTTATATTTTTATAAAAATAATTTTAATATTTATATTGAAAGCGCTTTGTTTTTCTGAGATTTTTTAAATTTTTATTTGTTATGGTGATCTAACTGATAATTTTTTTAAACTCTATTTTAAATGGTAGTGGTAAAAATGAGTAACTTTTTTAAAATGTAATATTTTGAAAATACATTTGAAGAAATATATTCAAATAAAAATCTACTGTTAAAAATTCAGTTAAAAATAAATCTTTACGATGTTAGTATGTGTATGCGAATATGATTTTGTAAGACTGATAAAACGTGAAAATTATAGTTGAAAAAATTCTTAAAGTTAAGTAAAAAGGTTGTTGAAATTTTTATGTAACTCATTAAATTACATTCAATCAATTGATCAAAAGTGGTTAATATCTTTCTCATAAAACATTTTTGAGGGATGGTGACCTATGTTCTTCTTCAATGTTGCAGATCGCCGTTTAGTAATTTAAATTTTCAATTACGAAATTTAAATTAAGTTTGGCACTCGAGTACGCTGATCTCTAACTAAAAAGCACATTAAGAAGAAAAAATTATTTTTATAAAGCAAAATTTTCTAAAGAGATTCACTAATTAAGATCAATGGTAAAAAAGTCTCAAGTTCTTAATAGACTAGCAAGAAAGCCTAAAAAGAATTTTCAAGAAATTAATAAAAATTTTAGCTGAATAAACTAATTATGCATTTAGAGATGATTCTACAACTGCAAATTGTTCGACTATAGATGTATTGAGTAGTTATTAGACATGAAACTTTCTTGTTTTGGTCTACCCTATTCTAAAAGTGCCTCAGTGTCCACTGAGGCATTATTAGAATAGGGTAAACCGGGGCACGTCGGCCTGCTTCTTTGATGTGAAACTTTTTAGCCTTTCAAACTTTATTTTTTTTATAGAAAATGACAAGATACTATATTACCCATAAATATCATTATTGAAAGTTCGTAATTGGTTTTAATACATTTTAAATTGCTTTTGCTGAGTTGTGTCTGATTGGCTAACGTGTCTTGCTATCGAGGTAAGTTGGCCCAGCGTTATAAAATAGGCAAAGTTGTTTTTAATTAGTTATTTAGGTGCTTCAAGCTGCCCTAACTGTCTAATCACAGAGCACCGTTGATTAGCATTTAATCAGGAAAATAATGCCTTCTTCCTTAAATGTAATGCACATATGACCAAAGCCGGTTTCAAACCACGGCACTCCGGTTTTGATGCCAGAAATCTAACGAGTACACCATGGCTGCATTCAATATTTTTGTTGTTTAAAAGTTGGTTATTTCAAACGTTTTAAAACCTTCGTACGCCACTGGCTGGATTTGACTCATTATTGAATTTTGAAATGTATTGGACCTTGGTATAAAGTCTTTATTATAAAGGTTTATTATTAACCTTAATAAAATTGTTATTATTTAGCCTAGTTTTGTTTTTTATTTTCAAGAATATGTCAAAACGCAAAATATTATTATCAGAAATAAAATCAAGCTGTTTAACAAAAAGAATAATTATTGAAAATCGGTTTTAACATAACGTAAACGTAACCCATTTGTATTGAACTAACCTGCCCCGTCGTAATGTTTAGATTATAAACGCTTTTATTTATATATATTAAGTCACATTATACATATAAAAGTCAAAAAAAACTGTTCAAAAATTAATTTGATATAACAAAAATTGCGAAAACGACCCAACACTTCTAACTATGATCCAACAAATATGATCTTTTTTTTGTAAAGAGGGTTGAATTACTACCAACCTTCATCTAGATTGAAGACGTGGCGCAATAGTTCTGGCTTAGGGCCAAAAGGTCTGAGGTTTGACACCAGCTCCAGCCCAATAAGCGACATTGGTAAGGAAGGAGGCGTGAACATCTTAAATAAATGCTCTTCCACGGTGCTCCGTTACGACTTCTGGAAGCGCCTTAGTAACCACAAAAAAAAAATTATTTTGTGTTATCTTTTAATCTTTTCTTTTACTGATTTAAGTATTCGTAGAGACGAATTTAGACCATGTTAACCAAAGTCGCGACAAATACTGTTTGCTGCACTAATTAATAAAAAAAGAAATAGAAAAAATTACTATTATTTTCTGCTAAGAATGATAGTGTTTATTGCTAAACTTGCTTTTTTATGGGAAAACTAAAAGTTCTTTAGCGAGCGAAGATGGATTTTGCGAATAAAGCGTCACTCATAAGGCAAATAAGTGAGGATGAAAATATAATACAATCTATATCTTCGTTATTCAAAATGAATGCAGCTCTAAGATTGTTTTCAATTTTGTGAAACAATTTTTGAGTGAATATTGGGAGAAACAGGAATATTGGATAAATGTGTTGCTTTGGTTGCTATATGTCACCAAATTTCTTGCTTCCAGGTAAAGTTAACACTTTCTTGATATTTTGATGTTATCTTTTTATTCTATCGGTTTATTAAAGTATATTATTCCAGATCTATTAGAAAAAATCTAATAAGTTATTATTTTTATTTTGTTTCATGACGTCAACTGACGTATTAAACTTCATTTGAAAAATTTTATTTTTTATTTTTTTGTCAAGCAACCATTTGCAATTAAAGGTAATTTCCGAAATAAATTCGCGATTGTAATTTTTAATTTTTATAGATTTTTTTTAGTTTATTTTTAAATTTTTATAGATTTTTTTTCATTTCGGAAATTAACATAATTTTTTTTATTTCGGAAATTTTATTCGGAAAATTTTTTTTTTAATTTCCGATAAAATATTTAAAAATATTAAATACAAATACATTTCATTATTATAGTAGTTACGAGTACGGTGAACCTGAAGAAGATAAAATCTTATCATCAGTAACCTTTGGCAATAAAAAAGGAAATAAAAGTGTATTGTTAGAAAAAATCTTATAAAGAATCTTGATTGGCAATAAGTTTAATTATGTTCTTTTTAAATTTTTGAGTGGTACTACTTTTTTAAGTTTACAACTCAGGTTTGTAAAATTCATAGCATTGAGCCACGATAGGAAATGAAAATATAATACCATCTATATCTTCGTTATTCAAAATGAATGCAGCTCTAAGATTGTTTTCAATTTTGTTAAACAATTTTTGAGTGAATATTGGCATCCTCTTTTATTGCTTTACAAGCTCGTAAGTTTTGATGTACGGAAAGGTTTTTTAAATCTTCCGTTAGATCGTGTGTTGTATCAGTTTAATGTTTTAGGGAAAATATTTTCTAAAACCTTCGGCGTTTTTTTTTAACTGATGTTGAAACATTAATTGTGTAATTTTGAAAATCTTCAGTTCATAAATATCAAATGTCCTCATGCTTTTTAGAAGTGGTTTAGCTTTAGTGGAGCAATTTTGAAAATGAATAATGCGTCCTGCATGATTCTGTTGTTTAAGAAGACATTCGAGTTTAGATTTATTTGTACTACCCAAAACAATATTACCATAAGATAAATAACTGTTTATGAATGCAAAATATAGTTGAGTTAGTATAGATTTGTCTGTTTTTATATAAAATACCAATATTTCTTGAGATTTTATTGCTAATATGTTTAATATGATCTCTCCAAGATAAGTTTTCATCTATTAAAGTACCAAGTAATTTATTTGTGAATGAACGCTCAATTTTGATGTTATTTATATATAACATTGGTAAGGATTTTGGAATATATTGAAACTTTCTTTTAGAATGGAAAAAGGAAAACTTAGTTTTATCAGTGTTTAAAGATAGGTTGTTAGCGGTAAGCCAGTTTGATATTTGTTCTAATTCATTATTTGCTACTTGAAGTAAAGAGATAATGTTACAGTGAAAATAGAATAAAGTGGTGTTGTCTGCAAACATAATAGTAGATATAGTATTTGATGCTTTATATAGATCGTTGATTAAGAACAGCAGCGGACCTAAGATGGAGCATAGGTTTTGTAGTACTAAGTGACCATAAAAAACATCATGAAAAGCTCACAAAAACTTGAGCTATTTTAGAAAAATAAATAGTAAAAATGTTTTTCTTTAGGTATTTGCACAGAAGCGTTTTTGCTTATTTCTGTTCACGCCCCCTAAGATGGGTGAGGGAGGCGGCAAATTTATAAGGCCTTTTTAAAAATATGTGCGGCCGTGGCGCAGTGGTTAGCGCTTGCTATAGAAGCAGGAGATCCAGGCTCAAAACGAGCTCTGAAAATATTTTTGCATCACGGTAAGGAAGGAGGCGTGAACTTCCTGGTTATATGCACTTCTGCGATGACAAGACCGTTAGGCCATCTTGGGGCAACTGAAAAAAAAAAAAATAATAAATAAAAAATATATATATATATATATATATATATATATATATCTATAAATATATTTATATATATAAATGCGGAATCGGCAATGATTCCACGTTTAAAAGCATAATTAACAATAGGGGTTGTCCATTAATTACGTCAACAAATTTTTTCAAAATTTTACCTCCTTCTTCCCCATTGTCAAATTTCCAAAGACCTCCCCTATAAAATTACGTCAACCTTTGATTACCCCCTCCCCCTATACTAAGAAACTACGCAAACTAACTCAGCCTAATTTTCCGTTATTTAAGTAATGAAACTCAAAAAATAAGAAAAATTGTTGACGTCAACTTTAATTTACCTCCCCCCTCCCCCATGTCAACAATTGTCAAAAAAGTTCAGACTCCCTCCCCCCTATTTTGTTGACGTAATTAGTGGTCAACCCCATAAAGTGTTTCTAAAAAGTACGATTTCTAATTATAAATTTTTGATTCGGCTTTTAACATTAAAACTTTTATTTTACCATGGTATTAAAATCCCGGAATTTGAAATCGAAATCGAAAGACTTGAAGTGGTTTTTTTGTATTCGATTTTTTTAATTTGACTAAGATAAACATTATCTGAGTAAACAAATATTTTCTTACATCACAAGAAAGCTTTATACAATTGTTATTTATTTACTATTATTATTTGATTCTTATAACAACCATCATAAGTTTCTAATCAAAAAATATTAGTAAATGTCTTAGGAAAATATGTCGCATTTTTTATTATAAGTGACAATTAAAATAAAAATATAAAAAAGTGACATTTATTATAAATTATTGTTATTCTTTTTGAGATTATATATTTGGACTAAGTTTTTTGCCACAAAAGTACAGATAAAATGGTCTAATTATGGCTTACTGCAAAGTCATAATTATTTCAGCTATCTTTTTTGCTTTTATAAACATTGGTTTATCAAGTTAGTTTTTTATTGAAAATTTATTTTTATACATTTCTATTTTTGCATGATTCCTATGTAGGAGTTTATTTTTGTCTAATCGTGCTTGATTACCTTATTAGATGCAGATAGTTTATGGAAATTTATTAAAAAGATTGATTTAAACGAAGAAAATTGTTTCTTCAAGTATGTATCTAACTTTACCATACAAGATGTAAATCAATCGATATGTAATTGTTCAAATGTTTGTCTACAAAAAGGGTAAGATTATAAGAATAAGAAATCAAATGTTGAATATATATGATGTAAAGCTACAATTAAATGATTTAACTCTTTTATGTTTATGAAAGATATAGTTACATATAAAAATGAACTGCTAACATTTGTAGAAGCACAAATAAAAACATACACATGTTTATACTTATTTGAAGAATCAACTGGTTTGTATAAAGCTAAAAAGTTATGAACATATTGTGCAACAGTTAAATCATTTTACATAAAAGCATATATCAAGTTTTAATTAACAATCATAATATTTTCTTTTTCTGAAAAAGTGTGAATGTTTGTAGCTTTTGTTGACCTTTTTTTTTTTTTAGTTTAACAAAAAACTTAATGCTTTTCTTTTTGTACATTTACAACACAGTTTTTTTTCACCCTCACATTTTTAACTTCATTTTCCATTGTTCCTGTTTTATTATGCAGAGTTTGCTAAAAAAAAATCTTCTAATAACTTTTTATTCTCAGATTGAGCTAGAATAGACCAGTTGTTTAGAGCGCTGCTAAAGTTTTACTGCAATCTTGCAGAATTTAAACCTGCAAGTTGCACGTTTCCTTCTTGACTAGTAAATGAATAATCTAGTTAAGTAAATGAAAATTATTGTTTGTATTTTTTCAGACTTACCATAAATTTGATAGTATTCATCTAATTCTTCATCAGACAGAATTAGTCTTTTTTATTAAAACTGGACTATTTTTATTCAAATCATCTTTTGTCATTTTTTAATGTGTCAAAATAAGTTATTTTTTTCTCTTTTACTTTGTCTGTTTGTTTATTTCCTTGTGTCTTTAAAATAAGCTTTAAAAGTGCTCTAAACTGACTTTTTTGGCCAATTGAAACTAAGTATTTTTTTTAGTAGATATTGGAATACATCAATTCCTCTATGGTTTTTTGTCTTTCATTTGTCTAAAAAAGGGTACTACTTGGTGGTAGTAAAAACAATCTTAATTTATTTTTTAGACACTCAGTGAAAGCAAATAGCCAAATTGTCATCAATAAAAAATATAGGGTTATCTTTAAAATATCAAGGCAAAACTAATAATTCAAACATATTTTTAAAATTTTAAATTATTTACTAATTTTTGATTCATAAAAATATTCAGCTAATTTATGGTTTAATTTAGCAGCAAAGTTTAATCTGATACACCAGAAAAACTAATTCAATTTAATATTCTCACTGGGTGGTGGGTTTTACACCTTAATAAAACAATTTTTGATAATTTAATATAACCAACTATGATTTATAGTAAATCGTAATTTACTATATAATTCACATTTTCTGGAATGGTTTTACGCTCACAGAAGTAATGATTAACTGTTTTAGGATCAATACTGGGTGGTTCTATGCTTTTTAACAAGAAAACATCCTCAATCTTTTCCTGCCATATTATTTTTAATTCTAGTTTTTTGAAACCTTGCCTGTCAAAAGTGAGTTGTCCATCAACATAATTTCAAAAATAATCAAATAAAATCCCTAAACTACAGCCAAAGATATTGTGCAAAAATTGTTCATTTTCACTATCAAAAGTATAAGAACAAATACTTTATAAGTATTTTTATTATTTGTATATCAAATTAAAGTAGATCTTGGTTCTCCATACCTTTCAGCTGTTTGGTTGAAGGGCATTCCTCTTTTAACTTCATTTAATAGTCATATTCATTTGTTGTTTATCAAAGTTGTAATATTCCTAAAGGGTTTATTCTACCAAAAAATTTAGTTATGAAAAGATAGAAATAAAAATAATTTATATGAATTGTAATGGGGTAATTTTAGAGTGACCAAATTTTAAGATATAGTGAAACCATCTAAGTACATCTGTTTTAATGGTAATTGGCATAGGTAGGCTAAAAATAGGTTGAACAACAAATTTTTATCTGTTTATACTAATGTGAAATAAAAACCTGAAACAAAAAAATTAGTGTTGTAAATTAACTAAAAATCACCTAGTTGAGAGTTGAAATTAGTAGACTTGAAAAATCTAATAGTAATTTTAATCAACTATAGATTATCTGACTATAGATAGATTGTATATAATGGTTTTCCTATTAATTTACTAAAAATCAATTTAGTCAAATTATTATAAAATATTTATATCTTTTTATTCAATATAGTTTTTCAATTATTAATTTATGTTACTTCATTTATTTATAAATGTACTATGATAACTATTACACTACTTAGTTTTTTGTTTATTCTTATAAGGTTTTATCTAATACTTAGCATCATATCAATATTTATACCTAATTCAACTATGTTGTGCATAAAAAGTGTCTTTGTTAATGTCTTTAGTGTTTTTTTTTGAGGCAACATAAATTTAAGTTAAAGGGGTGCTTTTGTTTAGCACCTCTTTACTCATTCACTTTTCTCTTCGTTTTTTATTGTTAATCCTTCTTTCCATAGCTCCAGCATTTGGTTGAGTTTTTCAAAGTGTTTTGGTTAAGTTTGATTGAGTTTTATCTCTCAGCCAATATTCTTGTTCTTGGGGACTTTAATACTCATAGTACTGAATGGGTAAAAGTTGGTTCTGGTTGAAGAAAAAATAAAACAAGAAAATGAATAAAAAACAAACAAATAGATAAATAATATAAAAAAAAAATAGAGAAAATAAAACAAATCAAATCAAAAGCGACGGAACAAATTAAAAGAAAAGAAGTTCAAAAAATGTTTGAAATAATAATGAAAAGAAATAATTAAAACAAAAATAAATTGCTATAAATTTTGCACGCTTTTCTGTTTCTACCAAGAATAATAAATATAGTTTATTTTATTTTGTAAAAGTTTTTGTGTTTGCCTTTTCATTATATAGTTTTTGTTTTCGTTATGTAGTTTTTGTACTTACCTTTTCATTTGCATAAAGTTTTATTATTATTTGCACTGTTGCTGCTAATTATTTTTATTGTTGTTTGCTGTTATTATTAATTGGGTGTTTTCATATTAATAGCTTAATCATTGTTATTATTTTTTTAAATTAACTTAATTTACACTTATTTATTAATATTGCTGTGGATTTTTTTGTTTGTTTGTTTATTTTATTTAGATGTCACTCCAATGACTAGTTTTTAACTTTATAAGTGACACCTAACCTAAATTTGTGAATTATAAAAAATTTGTAATTTTCAATATTTGGTTAAATAAATGGATATAGTACAACTGATCCTGCTGTCTTTAAAACTCAAAATATTTGTTTTTCTAAATCTCTTACTCGTTTAGTTAACTTTGTCACTTGTTTTCCAGACTAATCATTTACATTCACTCCTTGATTTTTGTCTTGTCTCTAATCCTAACTTGCACTCAGTTTACTCCTGTTCTCCTTAAGGTGGTTATAATTTCACTAAAACTTTTTTTATTGTATTTCCTGCTTTTTTTGCTAAATTTATTTTCACTCAAACTTCTCTACAGCTCTACAGGTAAACTGTTCCTAGAGTTGTTCCCATTTTTAAAAAATCTGGAATTTTCTTCTTACTATTAGCAAAGTCTTTGAATCATTAAAAAATCTTTAATCAAACTTACTCTTTGACAAACAATATTTCAATCCTCTCGTTTTACTGTTAAATTGTTAACAAAGGCCATTTTCATAAACCTTTCTAGAAAATATTCTCTATAGATTTTTCATTGGGTTAAGATCTGAACTACATACAGGCCTTTCCATTATGTAAATATTTTTTCTCAAAATCAACCTTTTGCACGTTTTGAACTATGGATAGCAGCATTATCTTGTTGAAAAGTGAAAATTTTACCCATGAATTCCATGTTTGAGGAATTTTAATAAGTCAATGAGGTCCTGTGAATTCATTTTTGTTGAAATCTATGCCATTAGAAGTTTTCTACTGGAATAGATTTTAACAAAAATGAATGATAACAGCTCTACCACCAAACCTACAACTCATCCGAGTTTCATTCTCTTTTCGAAGATCCTGCCAGTAATATTGATAGCCATCAAGACCATCTAGATTGAACATTTTTTCATCGCTAAAGAGAACTTGATGCCACTCTTCCTACCAAGATTTATGCGTTTTTAAAAATTAGGATTTAACTTCTTTATGACGAGCAGTAAATTTTGGTTTTGGTTTACGCTTTTTTCAAACTGTGTTTGGATCTTAATGTAAGATTCAAACGCAGATTTGAAAAAGCGTATTAGTACAAAATTGAGTTGCAGTCATGTGCTGAGCAGCAGGACGACGTACAATAACTCGTTTAGTACGCTTATCAATTTTACGTTTACCGCTACTTTCCTTATAAGCTCCGTAATTAACGCCAATCTTTAAGTAATTACTAACCACCCTAGGAGATCTTGAAAAACTGATGTTTTACATTTTAAATGTTTTTTCATTTGATTTTTTCTGTTAACAAAGGCAAGAGCTATTACCCTTGACATCAAAGGCTTTTGATAAAGTCTGACATGGTGTGTACTCAATAAGCTTGCTTCCTTTGTGTATCTGGAAAATATTAAAGTTGTTCTAGATGAGCTTCTTCATTTCACAAATCACTCCTTATGGACAACATCCATCTTCCTTTTCAGGAATTTTTAGGGTACCACAAGGGTCCATTCTTGGTCTTGTGTCGTTACTAATCTATATTTATAATTTTCGTGACAATCTTACATCTGAAATGTTTCTATTTACTGGTGAAACAAATAAATTTTGCAATCTAGGAAAAAAATCATTACTTTTTGATTGTTTATAATAGCCAGCATATCTTTAATATAGCCTCCCCTCAGGGTTTGCAGTGGCTGGTGAATTATGTGTATATATGTGCTCTGATGAAATAAAACTCAGTTATTTACTGCTATTAATTATTTTGATATTTGTGTAATTAATAAATTATTAGGTATAATTTATAATTATTAATAGTTTGTTAGGTATTTCTATATTGATAAATGGCAAAATATAAATGGCTTACTGAGTCTACTTTATGACTTCTTAAATTATCATTCACTAATGAGTTCACTTGAAAATCTAGTGTGACAATAGCTTGTTGATTTCATAGTGAATAATTGATGTTATCATTGGTAGATGAAAAGCCTTTTGTAAAATGTGGTCCGCGAAAAATGTATAAAAAAAAAAAAATACAAGATTGTGAAGTACCCTGATTTGATTTTTAAGTCCTTTAAATTGAAATTTTTTAATTTCTGGACTTAAAATGAAATAAATATAACTTAAGACCTTGATTTTTTTTTTTTTGATTCGAGTTTTTTACTGTATTTTTATTCTTTTGTTAATTTTTTATTCAAAATTTAGCTTTGAAAATTCTAATACCTTCTTGTAAATGATAATTTTTTATTTTTAAAAGAGAAACAATAACTGCTTTTATACCTTTCAAACTGAATCAAAAAAATGTCATTGAATGTGTTAATATTTTTTATTTATGTTATGTTTTAATTTTTAAATTAAAAATTACATATCTGTTTGTTTTTAAACTTACTTTCTAATAAAAATTATTTTCTAATATTTACTTTTTAATATACATTATTGTTTATACAGACCCTAAGAAACAAATATTATATTGGAGAAGGGGGGGGGGGGAGAGGGCAGTACTACCTCGAATTAGTTTTAAGGACCTTTTTTTTTTAGTTATTTTCTCAGACAATTTCTTCAAAATTATTTATTTGAAAAATTACTTGGAGGGGGGTGGGCAATTACCCTTGCTGCTCCCCCGGTTGCTAAGAGCCTGTTATAGTGTTTAATTACTTTTTCTCTATTATTTATCTATCAATTTTACTTTATATGTTTAGTTATCTTCATTTTGTTTCCATCAATGACTTATGTTTCTGTACAAATAGGAGTGATTATTTAAGGAGATGCAGGTAATTTTTATTTTGATATTTTCCTTTATTTGAAAAATCAAAATTAGGGATGAGTTCTGTCTTTTGTTGGTGCTCTATAGTAAATAAAAATACAGCAAAAACTTATTGCAATAAGCTTGTAGCAAAATTTCTATGATAAAAGTCAAAGGTTCTGTAATCATAAATGTATAAATGATGCCGGTGATTGATTGCTAGATTCTTTGAAACAACATGGTGAATTTATTGTGTCCACGAGGCTAGGGTTTTTCCAATACTAAACTCTAATTGAATTTTCACAGCACCAAAATTAGTTCCTTCTATTTTCCCTTATGTTGTTTATACATTTTATGCTATTATGTAATACAGTTTAAAGTTAGAAAAAGGTTGAAAAGACCTCTAAAAATGTTTAAGAATTCTAACTTTATGGACTTAAAAAACAGCACAGTTAAATTCCTGTAATATAAAATATTTGAATATGAAGTCTGGAAACCCTGGTTACTATGATGGAGGAGATTCTATATTTCTAAATGGAGTCTTAACATACTGTGCACATAAATGTCCAGTGGTAAAAGGCTTTGTGAAAGGTATAGTTCAATAAATGCAGAGTTTCATTTTATTCAGAGTTTCATTAATTCCAATAATTGCAGAGTTTCATTTTTGTATAGTATACAAGGTACCTACTATTAGAAATATATTACTTAAAATATTTAAAAAAAACTTATTTTACATAATAAGGACAGAAAAAATAAAAATGAAGAGTGTATTGAAGGTTATATTAAACTTAGCTATAAACCTGAAGAATCTTTTTATTATAAAAACGTTTTTGTTTCCAAAAAATATTTTGTTTTAAAATATTTTACAACTAAAAAGATATGGAATTGTAAAAATTTGAATCTGTAAGGGCTTCAGTATGTAAATTGACTTTGAATTTATAAGGTTTAATAATGATGTTTTTTATTTTTTTCATTTTAATTTACTACATGAACTTTTCATTTTAGTTTATTTCTTTACAAATTTTTCTTTGTCTGAAAACTAAACGGATTAAGTCAGTATTTAAAAAATTTAATTTAAACAGAGAAAAAATAGTAATACAAATAAAAAAAATCCATTTTTACTGTAATAAATATACTAAATGTTAATGAAGATCAATTTATATTTTTAATTTAATATAAAGTACTTTTTAATTTTAGTTGTCCCAAAAATTTAAACTGCAGTTTGTATAATACAGATGGCTGTTGCCTCAGTTACTTTAAAATAAAATCTTCTATATTGGAAATGGGCAAAAATGCATCTATATTTTGCAGTACATGTAATAATTATGAATATGATAGTATAAACTTTACTAGTAATCATCGTAGTTTTCATTTCACCAGAAATGTACAAGAGAAAAACAGTTTTGAGTTTGTTGTCAACACTCAGTACAAAAATGAAAGTTTTTACTTGTGTTTAACTGCATTTGACATCCAATCAAATATGCTTCATCAATGTTGGTTTTTTTATGTATATCCATCTCCAATTATTTTGTTAAAAATAGAAAATGTTACAGATATGGCAAATGGAAGTGTAGCTGTTCAAACTAATTCATGTTTTTCTCTCAATTTTACCATTAATGGTAATTTTTCAGTTTTGTTGTTTAACATTAGTAACGGATTTTCAAAAGAAATTCAATTTAAACTTCCATCACATAAATGTCACACTGTTATTGGTTCTACTTTTTTTTCTTATCCTGGCGTTTATTCAATGACAATTACTGCAAAAAGTTCAGATTTTTTGCAAACCCATGTTCAACATATATCAGACTTGTTTGTTGTTCAAGATGAAATTCAATATGTTTGTTTGGAATCTACATATGGATTCTTAGGCATGGTTTCATCATTTAAAGCAAAGATTTATGGTTCTCATTCCAATATTAAATTTGAATGGTATTTTCGAGAAGAAAACACAACAATATTTACAGGTTAGTTGTTTTTATAATTCTGTAACTTTATTATAAGCCTATTTTTATGCATATATATTTAAATTAAAAATAAATTATTAGAAAAATGTTTGTGTTAGTTTTATTTTCAAATCTAAATTAACAAGATTTTTTATTGCAAATACTTGACCATGAGTTGACCTGATACAAACACTTGTATTTTAGTGCAAAAAGTTTGGATTTTTTGCATTACTTTTTAAGTTTTAAGTTTCCTAGGATGACATCTAATATTATTATATCAATATCGAATAATGTTTTATAAAAAAATCTGGTCATAGAAAGCTGGGAGTAAACAAATCTACTTTCACTTTATCTGAAAAGAAAATACACTTTAATATGGTAAAAAGTTCAAAAAAGTTTTTGTATTAAAAGTTTGTTGTATCTAACTTAATATGGTAAAAAGTTCAAAAGAGTTTTTGTATTAAAAGTTTATTGTATCTAACTTAATATGGTAAAAAGTTCAAAAGAGTTTTTGTATTAAAAGTTTGTTGTATCTAACTTAATATGGTAAAAAGTTCAAAAGAGTTTTTGTTGCATAAGAACTATAATTTTTATTTTATTTTACAGGTTAAACACAGCTACCTTTTAAAAATTATTTTTTTCTCTCTCTAAGCTCTATGTATGCAGAAAAGGTGTGCATGTTATTTTTTTTGCTCTTAAAACAATATTTCAGAATGAATTATTTTACTAAAAAATATTAAAGTAAATAATGAATTTGTGTTGATATTTTATTAATGTAAAAGACAATTTATAGCGTAAATGTAAAGTAATTTATAAAGGTTTTATTAAAAACCTTTGTAAATTGTCCAAAATATTAAATTTATATTAAAACTGTAAAAAAACATATTAAAACTTTTAAAAACGTTTAAATATTTTTAACTAATGCAACTCAATAAAATTATAGAACTATATGTCAACAAACTTAATTTTAAATTATAAATGAACATTTTGATAAATGGTATGAAAGATTAAAAGTATCTACAAAGTATATTCTAAAGTATTTGAAATTTAAAGAACTTGATTTGTTTAAATCATTTCTTTTTAGATTAAAATTAAAAATTTTTTATATTAATAGAAAGAATAATAGTTTATTCTATTATTCGTGCTCTGTGTGACTCTTGCTACATTAGCTAATACCTGTGAGACTCTTACTATATTAGCCACTACCTGCAAAACTCTTGCTACATTAGCCACTACCTGTGAGACTCTTACTACATTAACCACTACTTTTGAGACTTTTACTACATTAGCCACTTCGAGGATACTTAATCATTTTGATTATTAAAAAAATTGTAATTATGTAAGTAATTGAAAATTGGTTGTTAAATGGCAAGTCAAAACATTGATTATTGATCGCAAGTCAAAACATAAACATGTGAAAAATAGTATTCTGTGATTATTGTTACTTTCAAACTCAAATACAAAAATAGTTTAATGTTTATTCAAATTATTTTTAGATACACCTGAGTGTCAATACAATATATCATATAATGCATCTTTTTTGTTCCCTGTACAACTCACTGCTCGTAACTTTGTCAGTAGTAGAACTACTGAATATGATGTCATAATTGTTCCTTACATAAAAGGTAAAATTGTTTAATTAAAATTCTAATGTATTTTTAAAGAAAATTCAAAAATGTATTTCTAAAGCAATAATAGTTGTTGTGGTGGTATAAAATATTTTTTATAAACTTTTCTCAATACAGAAGTCATAATAACTCCAAACAAGAATCCTGTTCTTGAAGAGGATCATGTCAACTTTACTGTTATAATAAATAAACCAATCACTTTGTGGCATCCAAAATTCTCTTATTTATGGACATTTCAAATAGACTCTCATATAAATACCCACAAAAGCAACTTGCTAGATTTTATAGCACCGTCTTCTGGAGTGTGAGCATTTTTTTATATAAATATTCAATAGATTTAGAACAATTTGTATTTAAAATGATTTTTTCAAACAAAACTGTTTTTACTTTTTTTTAGAATGTTTGTTACATTGTCTGTCACTAGTGATCTACTAACTGTGAATGGAAGTTGCCTGCTTTATATTATAAAAAGAATAAAACCAGTAAATATTATTTGCACAAACATAATAAATTTTTTTATTTTTTATATTTTATTAAAGTACTATCAGATTTTTTTGTTGTACTGTGTACAATATAAGATGCATTTATTCAAGACTATCCAAGCACATTATTTGACAAGTAGATATTGTTTGTTGATATCAGTTCATAAAATAATAATGATGTCAGTTCATAACATAATTGTTGACATCAATAATTACTAATTATAGACAAGTCATATGTTAAATCATATTATCAGCTGTTATTTTGTTCTTACTAATGCAGCAGTGGCTAGGAGTTTGTGGTAAAGTCAAAAAAAGTTGTGAATCCTAACTTATTAGTTAAAATATATTAAATAAATGTTGGATGCTATTTATTAACTTAAAATAATTAAAAAAAAAAATTGTTTGTTAATTAGTTTGTTTTGTAATATTTGTATATAATTTAAATAATCAATAAATATTGCATTTAAGAAAATAAGATTTAAAATATTATTTTATATTAATTTTAGTTTCAAGTGCATTACAAAACATTTCAACTTGGAGAAATAACATCATTTTCTGGTTTTTTTAATGTTGCTGAATATGATGCTTCCTTCTTCAACATAGATTATAATCCTAAAATCTTATGGGTGTTTGGAGATGCTCAACAGATGGTTTCTTCTGATATAGCAGTTAAACATAAATATAATAGGTAATATATATATATATATATATATATATATATATATATATATATATATATATATATATATATATATATATATATATATATATATATATATATTTATATGTATATATATATATATATATATATATTATATATATATATATATATATATATATATTTATATGTATATATATATATATATATATATATATATTTATATGTATATATATATATATATATATATATATATATATATACATATACACATATATATATATACATATATATTTAATATATATATATATATATATATATATATATATATATATATATATATATATATATATATATATATATATGTATATATATATATATATATATATATATATATATATATATATATATATATATATATATATATATATATATATATATATATATACACACACAGTATTGGACAAAACATTTTCAACCAACATCGAACAATGCTAAAAAGTGTTCCTATTTTTACATGTCTTAAAAACGAAACGAGCTATACTACCACAGCAAACAGTTCAGGAGTCTGGAATCATAGCATGCTATGACATGAGCAATCAGCTGACAGGTGACAGCACACAGGCAGAATTTCGTTGACAAGTGCCATTTTTCAGCGGACAAAACAAGTGCAACTTTTTTGGTTTGTTTCATTTTCTTAAGTCTGGTCCTTGTCAATGTCATGGAAGTTTTTTAATAATTAAAGGAAGTATCCAGAAGTTTCCAGAAGCATGCAGAAGTTTCCAGATGTTTCCATAAGAAGCATCTGGAAGCATCCAGAAGTATCCAGAAACATTCAGAAGCATCTAGACGCATCCAGAAGCATTGAAAAAAAGCATCTAGAATCTTCCAGAACAGGTTTACACAGGTTCATTTTACTATATAAGAGACATGTAAACTGACATGTAATTCAGTCAGTATATGAAAGTCAATCAGTCAGTATTATCAAGACAGTTTATCAAAGTAAGTTTTATCAAAGCTTTTTATCAAAGAAAATCAATACAAGAAGTGAAATACAACAAGTGTTTCATTACATCAATACAGTCCACATTCAACCAAGGGGCTGTGTTTCACAGAGCATTATTGCATCATCACAAGGTAAATGTAACACGGTAAGCCTTGAGAAGCGTGATTGTTTATTTTTATTATTTTTATGACTTCAAGTGCAAAAATGGCTCCCGACAGTCTTGGATTGGAACTAAGAAAGAAAATTATTGACAATTAGGTAAGTGGAATGTCACAAAAAAGTATTTGTGATAAATATTGCGTGAAAAAATGGACCGTATCAAGACTATGTTCCAAATATTCTACGGGGAAGTTGGCAGCAGATAACAAAGGTGGAAGACTGTGTTCCACCACTTCTAGAGAGGATTCTATAACCGTCAGATCCATCAAGAAGGATCAATTAGAGCTGCCTGTATCGGACCGAACAATCAGACGACGTGCTGTTGAAACCGGATTGTTTTCTTGACGCCCTGCATGAAACCACTGATTTCACTAAAGAACCAGAAGAAAAGACTTATCTTATATTGACTGGAATGTGCAGAAATGGCGAACTGTCCTGTTCAGTGATGAATCAAAGTTCAATATCATTGGGAGCAATGGCATTTGCTGTATACGTCGACCGGCCGGAAAACGCCTCAACTTACGTAACTGCCATAAGACAGTGAAGCAAGATGGAGGCAATGTAATGGTCTGGGGGTATTTTTCTGCTAACAGTCTAGGTCCAATACATTGAATCAATGGAATAATGGGCGGTTTCATGTATAAAAATATCCTGAAAGATGTTACCTCATGCTAAAGTGAATATGCCAACAAAATGGGTTTTTCAGCAAAGCAAGGATCTGAAACACACTGCAAAAGTAGTCAAGCAGTGGTTTCAAGACAACCACCTATCAGTGATGGATTGGCCGCCTCAATCTTCGGATCTCAAATCTATCAAGAACCTGTGGGAGATCGTCAATTGCAGAATTAATTGTGAGGTGTTTGTAATAATCAACTGTTTGAACAAATCCAAAAGGCCTGAGCAGCGATTCCACAAAGTTTCATTGATCACCTGATTGAATCTATGCCTTGAAGATGCAAGGCTGTGATCGACAACAAAGGATTTGTCACAAAATATTGATAGCGAAATACAGCTCGGTCAACATTTTGTGGAGTTGCACTTGTTCTGTCCAGAAGGAAATCAACTTTTTTTAATACTTTTGATTAATTTATTAATTTTCGTGTACAAATAATAAACTTTGTGATGAATAAAACTTGAAGAACGTTGTCTCTAAACAGTTACATAGTTATTTCTTTAAATTGAAAAAATGCAGCACTTTTATATAAAGAAATTAAATTAGCATTATTTGGTTGCACTTGTTTTGTCCAATACTCTGTGTGTGTGTGTATATATATATATATATATATATATATATATATTATATATATATATATATATATATATATATATATATATATATATATATATATATATATATATATATATATATATATATATATATATATATATATATATATATATATATATATATATATATATCGGGTGGACACGGAAAAATCTGGTCAACTTTAAATTGAGATTTCTCTAAAACCATAAATGCTTTTTATTTCAATTTTTTCATTATTAAATGTGTTTACATAAATTAGAGTTTCAACTTAATTTTAAGGGGCTTGAGGGTTGCTTGGCAAGAAATCGAACTTTATAGCGGGTTGATGCCATCATTTTACAGATTTTTTCTTTTTTCACCATATTTGTGGCATTAATCCACTTTTTTTGGAAGTCCTTATTATTTGTTAGTCCACCTGTCTTACGAAGAACTCCTTTAACTATTGCCCAAAAATCTTCAATCTTGCGCTCTTCAGGACGATTTGGAGGATTCGCATCTTTAGGAACAATTTTCACATTATTATCTTTGCACCGCTGTAAAACTTTTTTATAATAGTGAGAGGCAGCAAGATCGAGTCAAAAGTGACATCGGTATTTGTGTTTTTTTATAAAAGGCAAAAGTCTTTTTTGGAGGCATTCTTTGATGTAGAGATTGGCAGTCAAGGTCTTTTTAGTGACAAAACAAGAGGACTGCGTATTACAGCTTCAAATTGCTTGCTACACAAGGAACTTGGATGCAAATTTTTCTCGTCGAATATATTTGAATTGATCATCGACAGGTTTATCTTTGTTTTCATAGTAAAACTGTTGACCAGGAAGTTGTGAAAAATCCACCTTGCAATACGTTTCGTCGTCTTCAATTATGCACATATTTTTATCCGCCATTATTTTAACCAGCTTCTTTGCCAAATTCCTTTAATTTCACAATTTAAGCTTCTCTTAGGTGTATTTTTTTTTATGAAATGCTTTAATTTCAGCATTTTTAAGTACTTTTTTTGATATAAAAACGAGAAATTTTCTTGCTAGATCTTGCTGTGACTGATTTTGATTTCTTGCTATTGAACATAAAATCGACTTTACCTTTTTGGATTTATGGAAAGTTTTTTTTCTTCCACTTCCAAGTTTTCTTTCGAAGCTTTGAGTAGTCTTGAACTTGTTTATAATATCTATGACTGTAGATTTTGGGACATTTGTGCCTTTAGCAATCAAGCGATAGGAAGTCGATGGATTTTTGAAAAAAAAATTCACAACTTTTTTACGCACCTCAACTTGTTTCCAAAACATTTTGCAAATTATTAATTTGTAAACAAAAATTTATCAACACTATTTAAGATAAGGAAGTAAGGTTTATTTAAAAAAAAAGAAATTAAATAAAAAGCATTTGTGGTTTTGGAGAAATCTCAATTTAAAGATGACCGGATTTTTCTGTGTCCACCTGATATATATATATATATATATATATATATATATATATATATATATATATATATATATATATATATATATATATATATGTATATATATATATATATATATATATATATTATATATATATATATATATATATATATATATATATATATATATATATATATATATATATATGTACATTGTTATTTATTTATGTCTACTATAGCGTATATAGATATACTTCATTCATATGGTTTTTTTCAGAACAAGGAGAACAATAATAAAATGAAATGAAGGATAATAAAAAAAATGAAGTTTTGAACTCAAAGACAGACATTTTCATGTCATTAAAATCACAGTTTTGAACAATGATATACTTAATCTGAAAAATTATTATTTATGAACAGCTATATTGTTAACAATTTATTTTTTATAGAACTGGAGTTTTTTTTGCATATGTCAACGTTTCCAATATTTTGTCATCATACACAAGCTATGTAAAGGTTTATGTGCTATCTGAACCATGTGATTTAGAAATCTATTTCCCTTTAGATTGGGATACTTTGAAGGTACTTGTGTTTGAATTATAATTTTATTGACTTATATCTAGAACTTAAAGTTGATATTTTATTGAAATTAGCATTAGAATTAAGTTTTATCTTTTGCTAAGATTTTTGCGAAACCTGACATGTGACACTTGTTTCACCTCTTAAATAGTTTCCAAGAAAGAATGATATTGATAAATTTATTTAAAGAAGTTATTTTATATATTTACTGTGAAATCAATATTTCATAGCTAAAGAAAACATTGTTTATGACAAAAGTAACAACTTGAATAAATAATAGTTTTAATACCTGAATGTACATGTCAAAAAAAACTTTTAAGGATGCTGAAAATCTATTACACTGGTTGTTTGCAGAATATTCGAAATAATATCTATGCAACAATAAGCAATGTGTTGTTGCATCATTGCATCTTCAATGGGCAATGTGTTGCATCATTGCACCTATATGCTTCAAAAAAACTAAACAAATATTTAATTTTTTATCCCTTTTTCTTACACAAAATCTCATCTATATATACAAAGTTAAAAAGTACCATGACAATCTTTTAATTACAATCATTAAACAATCATTAAATATTTTATCATAAAATAATGTGTGACTTTCAACACATTTATCTATTTTATCTTTAGCACGTATAATTATCATTCACCAACTTTACAATGGAACATGCCCTCTTGGTGAATTAACTCACAAGTCTAATCTTTGGGGGGCCTTACTGCTCGTCTGGAGTGTGTTACTTGCAGTTTTTTTTTTAAGAATTATTTTGTATTTGAACAAAATCATTGTTATATCATCTCCTTTAGCCTTATCTATAAAAAAAATTGTTAAATTCTGAAAATCTGGAGTATGGCAATGTGTGAAATGTGATGTGTGAAATGTGATGCGTGAATGTGTGAAATGTGATGCGTGAATGTGTGAAATGTGATGCGTGAATGTGTGAAATGTGATGTGTATATACTAGATTCACAGTTTTGACATAAAACAACAAGGTATTTTGCTTTTGTACTACATCTGGTATCCACAGCTGATCACATTTTATTTCTAAAGTTGATTTTACTCATACATTGTCAACCTCTTTTAATTTCTTGTTTATGTCTTTCTCATTAATATTTCTCTGTGTATCGACACCAGGGATAAAGCAAGTTGGTTATATCTTGTTTTACTGAGATGAACTTTCAGTACAGTCGGTTGACGTTGTCTTGTTGTACTGCAAAGGTGCCAGAGCAATCAAAATCAGCGATCAAACAATGTGAGAGGGCAACTGTTTTTTTTTCGTTCTGTTTATGTGTTCAACTATACTGTTACCTTAAGCTTAATGGGCTGCTCGATGTTCAAAATTAACATACCATACTTCAGCAAATCTTATTAACCTGTTGGATCAAAATTTTTTGTTCATTAAAAGACAAACGGTGGCCTAATTAAAGAGAATATTTCTTTAGGTTTTCCAATAACTTCAGTTGCTGTTTTAGTTACCAGTTTACCCTATATTGTATAGCATGATGAACCACAGTCAACATCAATAAGTGCAATTCTGCACCTATATGTGTTGCATCAATGGTAACCTAATTTCAATTTTGTTTTATGCTTGTTGCATCAATTATAATTAGGTTACCATTGATGCATTGTTGCATCAATGGTAACCTAATTTCAATTTTGATCATGCTTCCATTTTGCAGAGTAGAAATCAATGGATTTGCTCTGGTTTCAATTTGCTTTTGCTGCTGAGACTTCCTTACATAATACATTTTGGTTATTTTAAAAAAAAGTTGTATGTTCGAATGACAACAAAATTTATAAAAAAATGTTCCAGTGACAACAAAATGACCAATTGAATGAATTTTCTGTATGTCTTTCTGTTCATGTAATCCAGTTGCACCTATCTGCACCATTACTGTCATAGTTATAAATTTTAATATAATTATTTTAATCTTTTTTTTTTCATTAGTTATAATTTTTATTATAGTTGATCTTATTATAGTTTATTATAATTTGTAATACTTTTTTATTCATACTAATATTATTATTGTTATCATTATTATTATTTCTATTATTTCTATTATCATTATTTATCACTGCTTTAATTTATTTATATATTTTTTCTCTTCTATGTTTTTATGTTATGTTATTCTTTTTTCTTTTTTTTTTTAATTTAAATTTTTTTATGTTTTATTTTTTTTTTTTTAGGTGTCACTCCATTGACTAGTTTTTAACTATGCGAGTGACACAAGTTTAACACACGAGTGATGCGAGTATTCTGCACCATTTTTGAAGGATTCATTAAAGTCCAATCAAGAATTTTTTTATTTTTTGTTTCTCCAATGACACAGTTTCTTTTGAAAAACATTTGCACATGTTGTTCAACAGTTTACAAACCTTTTCCCTTTGTTTTTTTGTACAATCCACATCAGCAGTATCAATACTTTGGGTGGTTCCAATGCTAATTTGTTATGTGGTAATGCCAGAGTTGATCCATTTATTTAATTCTTTCGGGTAACTACATTTGGTCGTCTTGGTTCATCTTGTAATCACAAATGATATTATTAATTACAGGCTCTTTATTCAAGTTTCATGATGCTGTTCACTTTTTCCAGTCAAACTTTGCCATGAAGTCCTGATGTTTTATTCTGTTCTCTTTACATATTGTTGTACTTATGACATCACCCTTTATTTTATTTATTTTGTTTACTTTTTTTCTTGTTGTAGTAACAGGACTATATCTTATTTTGTTTATTTCATTTTCTTTATTTCTTGTCGTATTAATGACACTACATTTTATTTCGTTTATTTCATTTTCATTTTTCCTGTTGTAGTAACAGCGCTACATTTCACTGCGTCATACGCTAAAATTCTGACTGCACAGTTTTTATCACCATATATGATGACTCCTCCAAATTTTTCAATTGTATTCATTCAAAAAATTAAATCAAACTCAAATGGTTTTTGTTTTACAATTAAAGTATTAGCTATCCAGAGTATTCCATAATTTTCCAATTCAATTACAATTTCACCTAACACTTGGACAGTTCCTACCAAAGTTGTGCAATTGAATTTTTAAATTAAGGCCCTGTGTGAATTTAGCATGAATTACTGTGATATAGCATCCAGAATCAATTACTGCTCTTCAGAACATTCTTTTTATTTTCACTTGTAATGATGCAAGGCCATTTTTGGAAGAATACTGAAAGCCATTATTTCCAAATTCTCTCTTTTTCTTTTAAACCTTGCAATTGTTTAAATCAAACTTAAGCTTAATGATTGTGTGAAAAAGTCTTGCCCTTTGCCTTGCAGTCCTGTTGGTATGGACACACGAGTTGTTTGGGAAAGTAGTGTCACAAACATTACATTATCTGAACAATCTAACTGTTGTGCCTCCTGATTTACTTTTTTAAGAGTAACAGCAACCTCCACAGCCTTTGCAAGTGTAAGTTCTTCAGGTTCCAGTAGAAATGGCTTGGTTTTTGGATTCAGATATATCCATTGCAGTTATGTATGTCTTTAGTTGGAGAATAAACTACTGATGGATACCAGTATTCTGGTTGCCATTAAATACTGGTGACATAACAGCCAGAATAGCTTGTTGCATTGTTGTGCCCATAACAACATAAAGTTTATACACTTCAGAAAAAAAAATTAAGAATCCAAAAAAATATGATAAATATGACTAATAAATATGAAATAGAAAGAGATCTTGCAAGATGCATCATCTTCTACAAAACAATCTAATCAATAACTAGCAACATGGTTTCGCTCAATCTAAATCTTGTATAACCAATTAAATTAAAACAATCATTGAAATAAAAAACTAAAATAATAAGGCTTCAGTAGATATTGACTATTTTGACTTTGCGAAAGCTTTCAACTTTCAGTTCAGTTTGCACTAGTAAATAGTTTAAAATAGTTTGTTCTATTTCTGCTTTTCTAGTAATAAAGGAAGCATAAATATTTGGTAAAGCTACTTTTTCATGGAAGTATTGGGTAGTTCAAAGACTTTATCCTTTTTTTTGGACAGTCTTTTGTTCAATTAGTGTAGCATATATGTATGAGTGTAATAAAATTTTCATTCCACTCATTAAGTAAAAGTAACAACCATTCACATTAGGTTATCCCAAGAAAAAAATACCTCTCAAGCTTTTTCTATTTTTTAAAGATAAAGTACCAATAAAATCTGTATAATTTTGATTATCTAAAAATACCAAAAAAATCTGTATAACTTCGTTCATCAAAAAAAATGCAGATGTTAGGAAAAACTTTTATAAATTGTATTGAAAATATTTTCAGATTAAAAAATTTTGTGCTTATTTATTTTTTTATTATTACTTATCATTATCTAAATAAACAAAGAACTGTGTTGTTTGTAATCTAATTGAATGCAGTTTAATTTAAATTATTCAAAATTTATGCTATAAACTTTAGATTTTATTACAATTTTTTATTTAACTTGAATTTTACTGTAGAATTAAATTTTTGAAGTAATTTATTAATTCGAATTCTGAAATATTTATTTGTGCAAGCTTCTGATGCAGAAGAGCAAACATAATCATTTCCTTTCTTTTCTTCTTTCTTTTCTTCTTTCTTTTCTCCTTTCTTTTCTTCTTTCTTTTCTTCTTTCTTTTCTTCTTTCTTTTCTTTTTCCTTTTCTTCTTTCTTTTCTTCTTTCTTTTCTCCTTTCTTTTCTTATTTCTTTTCTTCTTTCTTTTCTTCTTTCTTTTCTTTTTCCTTTTCTTCTTTCTTTTCTTCTTTCTTTTCTCCTTTCTTTTCTTCTTTCTTTTCTTCTTTCTTTTCTTCTTTCTTTTCTTTTTCCATTTTCTTCTTTCTTTTCTTCTTTCTTTTCTCCTTTCTTTTCTTCTTTCTTTTCTTCTTTCTTTTCTTCTTTCTTTTCTTTTTCCTTTTCTTCTTTCTTTTCTCCTTTCTTTTCTTCTTTCTTTTCTTCTTTCTTTTCTTCTTTCTTTTCTTTTTCCTTTTCTTCTTTCTTTTCTCCTTTCTTTTCTTCTTTCTTTTCTTCTTTCTTTTCTCCTTTCTTTTCTTCTTTCTTTTCTTCTTTCTTTTCTTCTTTCTTTTCTTCTTTCTTTTCTTCTTTCTTTTCTTCTTTCTTTTCTTTTTCCTTTTCTTCTTTCTTTTCTTCTTTCTTTTCTCCTTTCTTTTCTTCTTTCTTTTCTTCTTTCTTTTCTTCTTTCTTTTCTTTTTCCATTTTCTTCTTTCTTTTCTTCTTTCTTTTCTCCTTTCTTTTCTTTTTCCTTTTCTTCTTTCTTTTCTTCTTTCTTTTCTCCTTTCTTTTCTTTTTCCTTTTCTTCTTTCTTTTCTTCTTTCTTTTCTTCTTTCTTTTCTTCTTTCTTTTCTCCTTTCTTTTCTTCTTTCTTTTCTTCTTTCTTTTCTTCTTTCTTTTCTTCTTTCTTTTCTTCTTTCTTTTCTTCTTTCTTTTCTTCTTTCTGTGAACAATGCTGATCTTATTGGATCTTCTCCTCAAATGTTGATAAGATACTTGGATTGTTGCAGTATCCTTCTAAAAATTAGTCTGTATCTTAACACAAGGAGCTCATTACTTTTGTTGATCTCTAAGCTTAATTCTAAATAATGCCATAAAAGGAGTTTTTAAAAGGAGTCTGTGATCGGTTATCTGTTACCTCATATTTTTATTTGACTAATATGTAGCAAAAGGACTTAGTATGATTTAGGGTAGTAGGGTGGTCAGTGTTATTTTGCTTTAAAGGTTTTTTACTGATAAATATAGTTAAAATCTTATTTTGAAATATATATATTTTTTAATTATGTTTGTTTGTTAAACAATACAAATTTTACTTTTTTGTTTTTATATTACATATTTTACTTCATGTTACTTATTTTCATCTTGTTTTGTTCATGCATACTTTGTTTTCTTTAAATAACCTTTATTTTTTTTATGTACTTATATACAATTTGTTTTTTATTGTTTAGGATATTCAACTTTATGAAAATATTGTATTTAATCCTAGAGTTGAAGTTAATTGTCTAAAAGCTACGAATATCAGTTTCATGTGGGAGGTTTAAATTTTTCTGGTTTGATAAAAATGTTTGTTTATTATTTCTTATACTAAGGAAAACCTGATAACACAAACCTGAAAAAATTCAAGATAAAAGGGGCACGAGAGGCATGTAAGATATGAAAGAGCTTTCTTTAATGTAAATAAGTACTTTTGGTTAATGTAAATAAGTACTTTTAATTTTTTAATATCTTCAAGATGCATTTATCAGATTTTCAATTTTTCAAATGTTTTAGTCTTTTTTAAGAATTCTTAGAACTATTATAGGT